GGGAAAAACAGAACAACAAGTTTTTATTTTTAGGTATTATTATTGTTGTTTCTGTGTACTGACTCATGGCAATAAGGTAACCCCTCATCCCCTTGGTGTAAGGGAAGGTTCTAATGCTAACCCTGTTCCCCAATTGGTTCTTGATTTGTCAATAAAGAAGGCTGGTGGCCCATTGCTGGGCAGAGGGTACTGGTGGGACTTCTGGGTCCCAGGAGGAAAAAAATCAGATGCAAGGAAAGAGAGGGGCCTTTTTTGCCATGCTTTGGAGGAAGAGGAACACAGCAATCATGTAAGGTCTCAGAGAGAGCTTGGGCCTGTGACCTCCGCTACACACAGGTGTCAGGGATGTTTGACAGGAGCTAGGTGGGGCTAGCCAGTAAAGTTTAGGGCAAGTAGAAAGACAGAGATATTAAATTGGAAAGGGCCCAACAATTGTGCCAAGAAAAAAAAGAAGCCTTTAGCCACTCCTGTCTCCCAGGCAATCAATTCTCCCCCCAGGAGATCACAGCAACCATCAATTTCTTGGGTGTTTGAAAAAAGAGATATTTATACTAATCATTTCATAGAGAAATAGTTTCTTTCTGCCTCCTTTAGAGTCTAACAGCATCTAGAAGAGAGCTGGGTTGTTTGCAAGGACCAAGGTGTAATTGTCCATTACTGTCTAGAGCTTTATGCAGAAATAGGGAGAAGAGAAAATTGATATTTCTAGGGGTGGGATGGAGGAAATGTTTGCCAGTCTATCTTTACACAATTGCTTCTTTTTCCACAAGAGCCAAGTACAGGAACTTTTCAATTAACAGAAGGCTCATTACTTGGGTACAAGTTAATATAAGTTTTACTGTTACCAGCACTTCTTCAAAAGTGCTGAGACAGGGACTGCAGACTTCACTTATCCCAACTGAAAAGCTAACCAAGCAGAGGGAACCAAACTAATAATGTGGCTGATATTGTCAACTGCTATACATACACACATAGAGGAAAACTGTATTGACATAATAATAATAAATATGTAAAGAAAGCTCGTGGTTTACCAATAAAATCATTTACCATGTTGCTGACTTTACTGGAAAATGATGCTTTATTACCAGTCTCTCTATTTGATTGATACCTAATTAAAAATTCACTAGGCTCAACCTCAGCTACCTCAAACTATATTAAAGTCAGTGCTGTACCACTGGAGGCATAATATCGTTTAAAATCAAAGCAAGCACAATCATTTATTTAAAACTTATGGAAACAGTTCTGAAACTGACAAAGTTGCACATAGTCTTTGGCCACACACAGAGAAACAGAAGTGTGGCCTTGTGGACAGATCTAGGAAGAAAGGCAGGGCTAATCTGAGCAGTGGCTCTGTTATATAGAACTTCATGGTCTGGAGTAAGTCACTCTTCTTTGTACCCTGGTTTATCATTGAGTCAATACAATAAATCTTTATTTCTTACCTTATTGAGGTTTTTGCTAGACCTGGTGACTAGATGTACATAAAGCATTTCAGTAGGTATAAAGCTGTACCCACATACAGTGCCAAAAGCTTTTAATAAAAAAATATATATATATAGGGCCTCATGTATCCCCAGGTTGGTCTCTAACTCATTTAACAGCCAGAGATCACCTTGAATTGCCTCTACTTCCCAAGTGCTGTGATTACATCTAGTTTGTTTGGTGTTATGGATCAAATTCAGTACTTTGTGCATGTTAGGCAAGGACTGTAGAACTGAGCTCTATCTCTATTTTAGTGAACACTTACTATGAGCTAAGGGCGGCATGCTGATAAGAGTACATAGAAGCAAAAACTAGAACCTCTGCCCTCAAGAAAAACTACTGGAGATTTAACACTACTGTGGTGTGTTACTGAAGTCAGGGGTAAAATATAGGCAGTGAAGGTGGAGCTAACCCAATCCAGGTCTTTGTTATATCCCCCTTGCTTCTATGTCTAGATGTCACATGGACCTTGGGGTTGAGAATGGGTGGTAGGACAGAATATGTGAAGGAAGGGTGATTGACAGGTAAAGACTTGTAATTGGAAACGTGAGGTTTGGTAGGAAAGAGAAAATGGATCTTCTGCCTAAATGCTGAATCCTGCAAAGGGTAGGAATGGGATATCTTTTAAGGCTAGAAAGCAAATGGGATGACTTCAGAATGATAAACTAAGAAAATATGAAATTCACATAGTTTGGAGTAAATATATATTCAATTTCTTGAAAGAGTAGTCTAGACTTTGCATATAGAGAGGTTAAAGAATGCTGGCATGTGTCAGCAAAGCTAGGCATATCCAGCTAACTCAAACACATCTGAAAGGATGGAGACATGGGCAGCTAGGCGTTGGCTTACAAGAAGTATAGAGTTTGCAAAATGATCACCTATGACTGTTAGCCAAGACTGTTCTAGAGGTACGTCATGGTAGCTTTTGAGAGCCAAATGTTCCATTTTCTGGAAAATGTGCCAAGGGCTTGGAAGACAGCTTGTTGAGTAAAATCCTTGCTGTATAAATATGAAGGACTAAGTTGGTTTCCCTAGCACACACTTATAAGATGGCCATAGGAACATATATCTGTAGTTCCAGTGCCTGGAGGGGAGTGGAGACAGAATAATTCTGGGGGATTGATAGTCCAAACTGACAAAGTTCCAGGTTTATTGAGAGACCATGGCTCACAAAAAATAAGGTGAAGACTTATAGAGGAGATACTTGACCATGAAGTCTGGTCGAAAGTATGAATACTTGTACTCATCTGCACATATGTGTACACATACACATACACCATACAGATAAAATTATGTAAGCATGGTTAAATTGTATAAAAATCAAGGGTAACAAATACTCAAGTCCATCATTGTCTAATTATACGATTTTATATGTATCTATGTTCCTGTTTTTTTCCTTTAATAGAAATGTACGTAATATTACCCTAGTGCATGCATTTTTCCCAACTCTGTATTCAGTGATGTCAATTACAAGCTTGAGATTGGTCATGATAAAAATATTTACACCCGAAAATCAACAAGACTTGCACAGCAGTACGTTTTCCTCCTGAGAGCTAGTTCTCGAACATCTAGCATTCAGAAACCGGGCAATAAGGGGCTAGTTCCTTCCTCATTAGAGTAATGCTAGAGGCATTAATTTAGAATCCCAGCTTTTCCTGTATTAACCAACCAGCTGTGTGGCATTGGGCACTAAGAAGCTCAGTTAGTTGCAAAGTGAGGGTGATGCTAACAGCTCCACAGAGATGTTAGTAGATGGTAGCATAATAGTTAACATTGCTGGTAAAATAACAAAGCAAAACAAAAACCTTGGCACTATGAACTAAAAATGAGAGTGGAGAAGAAGGCTCTGAAAGGGAGGGGCAGTGAAATTGAAATCTAGATCTGCGACATGATGGGAGTATCTTATCATTTCGACTAAAACAAGAGAAAAAATTAAATCTCCATGTTATTTAAGGAATTATGACTTTTTATCTGTGCCTTTTCCAGGCATAACTAATTCTTATCAGGGATTACCTAACAGGTTAATTTTGAAGGTTGCATGTATTAATACAACAATTGTTATTGTCTAATTATTTGATTATTATTTGACCATGTTTGGTGCTTAATGTTAGAGCATGGTGCAGCATATCTAATAATCATGAGTTCACCCTGGTAATAAAGAGAAATGGGGGCCATTAGCATTGTGCAGGGATAACACTAGCATTATATTCAGAGACAAATCATATTCAGAGACAAATCATCAGGGGCATTATGGGATACAGTCTTCTGTCATATTCTTTTGGGAAAAATGTCAGTGTCCATGGTTGAGGAGACTCCATGGAGTATTTGGACTGTATTGGCACATTCTGGGATAATATTTACATTGAAGACTAAGAGTATTAAGAAGAGGGTGGCAGCAGTGGTGATGGCATTTGCAGCATCACTCCTGTGACAGAGAACAGCAGTAACTTTGAGAATCAATATCGTATTGTTTTCAAAGGGTGTGTTCCAGATCTAGAAATGATGTGAAAATAAGGTGTAAGACAGGAGTTGCAGAACAAACCAAGAATCCTGCCTCATTTAGTCTTTGCTATGACTCGAACAAGAAGCAGTTTGGACAAGGCTAGATTCCTTCCAATTCTGTAAGTGGCAACGGAGCCACAGAATGTCTGTTTTGTCATTTCTCATGTGGGAGTGCATTTTATCTGAGGCTGGTGGGCTTAGAAGTACTTGACATCCATAAATTCATGAGCAACAAAGTAAAGTAGTTCTGTAAGGCCAGAATATTTGTCTAAGCCTGTCCTCTCTGACGTGAAGGGCATGAAGAATAACTATGCTTCTACATCATGCTCTGGTAGCACCTTTCCTCCCCAGGGCAATTCCAAAATGGTTTTCAGAAAAGGAGTATTAGCACATAAAGTTTTTTTTTTCCATTGTGAAAAAGTCTTTAAGAAAAAAATTTAGTTAACCAAAAATTTAACAAGTTTCACTTAGCAAAATACACCCAAAAGGGAATCACAGTACAGAGAAAGCTTTAAGTCAAGACCTCACCAATTCCTACAGTATTAGTACTGTGTCTCAATTCTCAAAACTAACTTTTAAAAAGCTTAAACTTAACCTAAAGATTTTAAATGAAAATATAAACTAGAATGAACATGAGAAATACTTCTCTTTGCATCAGGGATCTAGCACCGTCGAGTTCTCCAGAAAAGTACATGCCCCCAGTGTGTTCACTGTGGTGTGCTTAAAGATCCACTTGACACACTTAAACTACTTAACTCAGATAGCATCACTCTCAAGTACACTACCAAAAATGTTAATTGAGAAAAGCGAAGAAAATAATTTTAGTTTACTCAATATTATATGCTAGAAGAAAAGTTTGCATGAGAAACACTGAAGAGGTATTTTTTTTAATCCAGATTTCACAAAGTCATGGTGCAAAGTGGGTCCCCCAGCTTCCTCTAGTTATAAACAGCTCTTGACTGTTTATTGGCTGCTTGTGAAATTTTGATTGAAATAACTCAAATGTTCCTACAGTACTAATCACATCCATCCATGCTCTTCTGATCGCTGTGGCCATCCTCATAACAGCCACTCACTGACTGGCTCTCCAGGCCACTGTAAGTTGCCTGGGCAGCTGACACACCCATGCCCTGCATCATCTGGTTGCTATAAGCCCCACTGCTAGCCCTTGTTGTTGAATTCAGGAAGAGTTCTATGTATCTGTGCTGCATGTTGGCCCAGTACTTGGACATAGCTGCCACTGCTTCTTCATAAGTAGCAAACTCAACATCAGCTTCTCCCGTCTCTCTTCCATCAGGATCAGTCTCAGTATGAACTCTCACAGGGTTGAGTGGCCAGAAGAAGTTGTAAATGTCGTTCTCCGTTGCTTTGTAGGGCAGCCCTCTCATGTGGACGCAGTAGCCGGTGGTGCTCTGCACTGTGAACTCGCTGTCTCCGTATCTGTGGTCATACATTCCTGAGAGACAATAGCTGAGGTCTCTCCCAAACAGGCCAGTGGTGAAGCCATAGCCATCACTGAGGCCACTGTATTCTTCGTAGCCCCCATAGGCTACACTATAGGCACCATACCTCATCCTATCCAGGCCTGCCTGTTTCACAGTGCCAATGTACCTTCGGGCTGTGCCAGGCCTGTCATAAGGCCCAGGCCTCTGCACAGACATAAACTTCAGAAATGGATATGAGTATGACCCAACTTCCTCCTGACTGCTCTTGAACACTTCAATATACCTGTGTCCTATTCTCTCCTTGTGCTTCCCTAAAGCTTTCTCGGCTAACTCTTGTGAGGCAAACTGAACAAAGGCCTCCCCTGTAATCTTGCCTTTTGGACCCACAGGTAGTGTGATCCCGTTTGGCACAATTTCCAACCCCGAGAAGAACTGAATGATGTCTTCCTTTGCACATCCAAATGGGAGTCCCCGAAGCCTCACAAAGCCATCATTGGCACTGTCGGCGCTGTTTGGACCACTGTGCTTCAACACCCAATCCATCTCGGCTCCGCTTGACTTGAACACCTCAATATACCGGTGTCCCATGCTTTCCTTGTGTTTTTTCAGAGCCAATTTTACATCATCATCTGACTCAAGTTCAACAAAAGCCCTACCACTCTGCCTGCCTTCTCTAGTATAAATGAAATGAACACCTGCGACCCCATCATGAATGGTGCAGTCGGAGAGGAAGTTTTTTATGTCCTCAATTGAGCAGGACCAGGGTAGGCCACGGAGTTTGACCACATAGCCTTCACCTCCCTCGGGGCCCAGCATCATGGACACTTGACAGGGCTGATGTCACACAAGCTTGGGCAATTATTTTGTAGCTTAAAGAACCACTACAGATGCCTTCTGTAGGAAACACTTCATGGAAATACCAAGTTTTCCAAGGAAGGGAGGTAGAAGTGACTTCTATTTTCAATAATGAACGCACCTTACGAACCCAAACTCTACCCGACGCCTTAAAAACGCAGAGGGCTCCGGGACAAGTCCAGGGGCATCTTCTTTTTGTTCTCAACCTCGGGCTTCTTGTCTCCACACTCCCACTCACATCCAGAACCTCACTGGCCCTCAGAGCACCTAGAGGAGGGTGGAAGCCCAGGGACTTGGGAGTTGTAGCTGAGGCAGTTGAGGCTTGTTTACTGTCACCATGGAAACCCCCACAGGCCTTGGGCCTCCTCCACGCAAGTCAACCCTGCCTTGGCCTGGTCGTCAACTCCTGCCTGCCAAGCGCCCATGGCGCTCCCTGAAGCCTTCTTGATCCCTGGGTTCAGTCCACCGCCGAGCACCCGGAAAGGAAACAGTAGCCCGGGGAGCCCACTTTCCCTTCTCACAGCCTGTGTGACCGAGAGCTGGCCTTCCCGAACCCCCAGCACATAAAGTTTTTTATGTTTCCCAAATATTGGTTCTGTATTTGTTGTGTTGGGTTATTTTTTTTCACATTTGTAACCTCCGGTCTTTTTCAGTGACTAAACTTTAGTCCATTAATAGTTGCAATCTACTCTGACTCAAAGGAAGGTCCTTAGCATGCTGCAGTCTAGGTGGCTGAGTGGGAGATCTAGTAGAGCATCTTTCATCCTTCCCCTTTCTGTTTGTGAGTAAGGTGACCAGCTGTCTCTTACGGGTTGGGAGAGCTCTCTGTTCTTACACTGGTTAGATTGACTTTTATCTAATAACTTTTGCAGCTGGGCTGCTCTCTGTGTATACAGAAGACACATGTGGCTTTCACAGGCATGCGCAGTGGACAGAGACGTATGTGCCCATTATTACGGAGTGCTCCTTCAAAGAGGGGAAGCTTGGTTTCTCTCAGTCATCTCAGAAGTTCATATTGTCTAGCCTTTTCTCTGTGTGTCACTGTGACCGCTCATTCTGAATCTCTCTAGGTTTCCGTATGGTTTACATTCCTCTGCACAGAGTCACAGAGCTACTGTGCCATTTTCTGGGATCATAAAGAGCAGTAGGAGTATAGATTTGAAATCTTTCCCCATTTTTCTCCTCCAAGTTCTGTTACATCACAGTCTGTTTTTATGTTGTCTTTGTGTTTTTGGCTTTGGCTCACAGTTACCAATTTGATGATAAAAGCAGATGACTCTCGAACATTACACAATGTTTGTTGTATAGACTTTGAAACTAACTTAGGTATGAGAAAGGACATTTGACTCACCTTATGGTAATTCTTGTAGTTAAGGTGAAGATCAGCACAAGACCAAACCCCTATTTACATTTGAATGTCCCAATAGAAATAACCAGGAAAATAATTCTGCATGGGTCATTGGTGTATCCATCCCTGCTTAGGAAATCAAGCAGGCTCTCCTGCTGCTAGAGGAGATACTGTGTTAAAGGGCTACAGTTATTCAAATGAGAAACTGATATATTCTTAATAAGTGTTCCACATGCAATAAAGTGAATGATCATGCTGTATAAATTCTGGAAGGAAATTTCCCTAACTTTCCACTGCATAGAAAAGCTTCTTTTATTAATATACTGAATAACAGCATTCTGTAAGCAACTCATACTTTTTAGATTTACTCCTGTTAAAGAAAGCCATACTTAAGTGCTTGGAATTGACACTTGAGAATGAAACACTGGTGCAAATAATAGGGAAATTGTAGATGTATTTTATACCTTGCCTTCCCAAATCAAAAGGTCTCATAAATACAGTCTCTAAAAGTGTCGGTGGGGGAGTTAACATAACTGTACAAGCAATAAGCCTGACCTTTCAATGTAATTTATTTTCGATTTGCACAATCCTTTTTTTATTAAAACTAGCACATCTGAAGCAGAATTAAATCCTATTATAACAGGTGTGCGATCATACCAGGTTCTTGCCACCAGCCTGCTTTATTAAAAGTTACTTTGTTTTAGGAAGAATAACCTGATCAGTGCAGTGGGATAGCTTTGCCAAGTCGAGGAGAGCAGGGGAAGGATAGTTTTATTTTCTTCAGTGCAACTGCTGTTTCCAGTGAAATCAAAGAATATTTACGACAGTTTCTTTTGTGTTTGAAACATCATGGTGGGACATAATCTCTCCTTTCTGTTTATAAAGGTTATTTCTCCCTGAGGTTATTTAGACCCAGTGACAAGCTGTTCTGTATCATGATTCACACATTACTTGCCTACTTTCTTTCTTTTTCTCCCTACAGTCACCTTCATGTGCGGCATTCATACTCCAGTGACCACTGGGAGGATAAAAAAATCCATTGAGACACTACTTAGCTCTGGGTCCATTTGGTAGCAACTGGCTTTCAATATTGGCTCATCATAAGGAGCCTAATTCTATGCAGTCCTTGACAAATTTTAGAGTTTAAAAACTCACCTCATTTTTAATTAGTTTGGGTAGTTGCCTCTATTTTCATCTTTTTATCTCTCTTTCCTTTGCTCTGCTTGGTCATCTCACACCCCAGCTCAATTTTAAACTTTTTCGGTAACCTATTCCTAATATGTACACATGCCTACGGCAGCCTGTTTCTCCCTTCAAATCTTAAAGACTGGCCACTGATCTGATAGGATGTCTTGTTAACTCACCTTCAGTAGAGAACTAATGCTCTAGAGGAGGAAGCCAAGTCAGGTTAATTTCTTTTTTCGTGACTTGGCTGGTGTATTGGGGCTTATCAAAGAAAAAGAATTGACAACAAAGTGGCAGGAACATGCAACAAGTTTTATTTTGGTGCTATATTGACAGGTTTGCAGAGAATGTGGGAAAGAAAGCCTCTTGTAGTACAAAACTTTGAAAAACTATGGCTCAGGGGCCAAAAAGAAAGGGAGAACAAGGACCATCTAGGGGAGAGAAGAAATGATTGGGGGCCTTATAATTCTGAATGCTGTCACTCAGTAAGTAGCACACTGGGGAACCTGTAGGTCAGAGAGCTCTGAAAAATCAGAAGGGGTCAGACATCTTTTAAAATTGTATTTTTTACTTTTGTTTATTTATGTGTACTTTGTATATGCTGGTGAACACACTCACAAACACACACACACACACACACACACACACACACACACACACGCTATGGGTGTGTACACGAATGGATGTTTGCATGTCTGTGGAAGCCAGAGGTAGATGCTACGTATCTTCTTTGGTCACTTTTTACCTTATTCTTTCTTCTTTTATTATTTTTTCATATAATATATTTTATCATGATTTACCTTCCTCTAACTCCTGCCATATCCTTGCCCAATTTTATGTTCTCTCTCTTTATTAAAAATCCTCACAAAATGAAAATCACAACAAACAAAACCCAATAAAACAAACTCCCATAAAAATGATAATCAAAAATAAACAAAAAATCAATAAAAAAGAAAGCCAAAATAAAAGCATGTGTGCACATGTACACACACAAATCAAATCAAATCAAATCAAAACAAACAAACAAATAAGTCATGGAATTAAATTTGTGTTGAACATCTACTCCTGGGCATAGAACCTGAAATATAGTTGTTAAATTCAGTGATGCATCATTGGAAAAAACAGATTTTTCCTTTGCCAGTGGGTATCAATTACAAATAGCTTCTTGGTTAGATGTGAGGCC